GTATGAGAGCCTGAGTTTGAATCCCCAGAACACATGCAAAAAGTCAGGCATGGTTATGTGTGTGGTTTCCTGGCCACCAGCATAGCTCTAGATGGGAGACCCTGTCTTAAGAGAATAAGGTTGAAGGTGATAGAGCAGGGTACAATGTCCTCTTCTGGCCTCTCTGCAGGCATAGGTTCAAGTGGGCATGCACACATGCACATATACACTCTTGTACACATACCTGGATCCTGATGTAGTCTACCGGTCACCCTTCCTGCACATTCACCCTCATCTTGGTTAAAGGCTTTCCAACTCCTCTTGGGCTCAGACTGAAAGTCTAAGGTGCCATGCATCTCCCCTCTTTCTTCATTTCCCACCATTCTACCAGGAAAATCCTCCAGTCTTAGCCCTGACATACACCAAGGATTTGACTCTTACCCACCGCAACTTCCTAGGCTTCTTTTACCTTACTGTCCAGGCCACCATCCCGGCAGTGGGACAAGTACAGTAGCTTCTAAGGGTCTCCCTGGTTCCACCTTACACATCTTAGCTCTGGTCTCAATCCCTCAGCCAGAGTCACTCTGGGGCAATGTCACTTAGGTCAGGTCAGCTGCTGTCTGAAACTCTTCAGTGGCATCCTGTCCCGTTGGTACGTTGGTACGAACTGTCCCACTCTGTCCTTCAAGGCCCCTTGCTATCTGTCCGCATTCCTGTTTCCTCCCATACCTCATCTCACTGCTGTCTCCATGTGCCCTCCACTCCCCCGGCTTTGCCTTGACAAGTCAGGCTCTTGTCCCAGCCTCAGCCTGGATGCTCTCCACCCAGATAGGAGAAGCGCTTTCCTTTCCTCCCTTCCTGTCCTCCCCAAGGTTACCTTGTTGATAAGGCCGTGCTCGAAGAAAACAGCCGCCTCTCTCGTCTCACTCCCATCTCCCTTTCTGCTTCATTTTTCTCAATAGTAACGTCCTCCTTTGAATGTACAGTTTACCCTCACTATAAAAACTGAGACATATAGGATTTACTGATGTTCTTCAGGTCTGTGTCCTGAAAGCTTGTACCATCACTGGGCACACAGAATGCACTCATAGTAGTTAAAAGAAGGAATGAGGAAAGGACAGATGAACAATGCAGGCTTCCTAGACTCATGATATACCTAGAAACATCTGTATCTTTGACAATAATGGACAGGGAGCTGAGGGTGTAGCTCAGTCCAGCAAGCACCAAACCCTAGGATTAATTCCCAATCTAAACAATAGGCAGGAATGCCATCTAAGTTCTTAGAGATGGATGGCATTTTAAAAGTCAGCATATCTGCTGCTGAATAAGTGGTTCGGTGGTTAGGAAACTACTGTAAAGATCCCAGATCCGGTTCGGAGCACCCACATAGGAGAGGGATTAAATCACCCATATCTCTTCCTCCAAGAGGTTCAGTTATCCTCTTCTGATCCCCTCAGGCATGCGTGACATCAGTGCACCCGTGCATACAAGATTAAAATAAGTCTTAAAAAAATAAAATTCCATCTGAACCATCAACAGATCTGAGACCATAAAATCAGGACCAGGGAGACTATCCAGAGGGTAAGGGAACCTGCTGCCAAGAATGATAACCTGAGCTGGTACCTGTTACCTACATCATGAAAGGAAAGAACCACCTTCACAAACTATCTTGGCACACAATAAATAAGTAAATACAATTTAAAAAAAAAAACATTTTTTATAAAGTAATCAAAGTAAATGTGGGGATACATGCATCTGTCTAGAGAAACTTTGAGCTGATAAATGAACAGAACGGAAACTCAGGGCCCAGGGAATGGTCCAGAGAAAGGCCCAGCTCAGGGCTCAGCGACTGACCTTCCAGACTGTAGAACCAAAGCTGAGCAAACGCTCTTCCTTACTTGTGAGGTCTTTAAAGTCACCATTTGGAGACCGCGCAGATGAACAGTCAGACTTGCTTTCGACAGGAGTTTAGCAGGAACAGCCTGAGGGTGGGGAATTGGCTTAAGCTAAGCCAATGCTGTCCTACCCATGCTAAACACCCAAAGTGTTAACCCCCAGCTACTTTAAAAGAAACCTGGCAATAATTTCAATGATCAACATTCAGAGAAACTTTATGACGCTGTTTCCAGTGATGAGTGGCTGGTGGGCAGCTGACTAAATCAATGTTTACGACAGTTTTGGAGACGACATTTCAGAAGATATTTTTCTAGTTTAATATTATATTTCAAATCTAAGGTTGAAATATAAGTTGTTTCTAGGCAACTACCTGCGAGTAGACTGCAAATGAGAAGAAGCCATACCTTGGCATTTCTATCCAAACCTTCCTGAAGGATAAAAAAAGGGAGTGCCGTCTCTCCCTCCAGGTTAAAACCCCAAGCAGAAGGCACAGCTCTAGAAAAGGAAGTCCTAGATGTGCAGTCTTGTTTGAGAAAGAACCCCTGTTCTGCTGAGCACCATTGCGAAAAACCCTAAGTCTCTATTTAAGAAGAGACCATCGGTAAAAACTACAGTCGCAAGATCTGTGACAGTTCTTGATTTCCAGGTTGATAACCCATTACTTTTATATTTTAGCTGACTAGAAAATAAATACTTTGGCGGGGGGGAGGGGACATGTTGAGACAGGTGTTTCTCTGTGTAGGGGTGGCTATCCTGGAACTCACTCTGTAGACCAGGCTGGCCTGGAACTCACAGAGATCCACCTGCCTCTGCTTCTGGGCTTAAGGGTATCTGACCTCTTTTTCTTCTTTCTTTTTCTTTTCTTTCTTCTTTTTTTTTTTTTTTTTTTTACAGAGTCTCTTGTAGCTTGGGCTGGCCTCAAACTCAAATCAGATCCTCCAGGTGAGTGTTGCAGTTACAAGCCTGCCTGCGTCACCAAACTAGATTAACAGAGTTCTAGGCAAGCACGGGGTGAACTGAGTTACATCCTCAGACACCGCAAATTTTAAAGCAATATCAAAGACTGCTCACTGTTAATAGCTTTCAAAGTAGAGAGCCGGAGTAAGCTAGGCAGGTGGGGTGGCTTATCCGATAAAGGCGCTCACTTATCCCTAAGCCTTGAATTTGATCACAGAATCAACGGGTTCCTGCAACGTGTCCGCTGATGGTCACACACACATACGAGCCCTAACACACAAAACAAATAAATAAATAAAGGTGAAAATGGAAGAGAGGATCTGAGCTCCTTCTGGAAGTCACTATCTCCTCAGCCGACAGACATTCTACCTGGGAAGGAAGAGCCCCTCATTCTAGGGTGAAGCATGGCTCCCAGCAGTAGCCTGGCTCATGGCAGTGCTTAACTAAAGTTTGTTAATGCAAATTCGTCTGCAATTGATTGGACAACAGAACTGGACAGAATATGTTCTTAGAAAAAGGCACGCTCAAGCGTGTGCACACTTCCTTCTGAATTAATTTTGGTTGTTTCAGTGAATAGTTCTGTTGGACATGGTTTGTGTCTTGTAAGCAACTTAAGAAAGAAAGTTTGAGGCATTCCAATATCACTAATTCATTGCAGAAGCCAACAACAGTACTGTTTATTAAGTTTATTAATTCTTAGCCCCGTGTTTTGATATTTTTTAGACATACATGCTCTTGGGGTTCTGTAGTGATTTATAGTGCTAGCAATTGAACCCAGCTAGTGACTGAACACATGCTAGGCAAGAGCTCTACAACTGAGGGGCATCCCAAGCCCTACACGTATGCATCTCACAAGCCTCCTATGGGACAGGTGTCAGGGTGCCTCCTTTACAAATGACAAAACTAAGGAAGACCCAAGGAAATCAAGCAACCTGGGCAAGATGTCACAGAAAGTAATTGCCTGGGCTGGGACTCATTCCAAAGCCTGAGTCTAAGCCTTTGAACCCAACACTGGGTGGCCATTAAATGAAATTCCAATACAGTAACTTCAGACGGGTAATACTCTTCTTAGGACTGACACTGCTCTCTGTGTGTCTGGAAAAATATTCCAGTAGATAAACTTTCGGCGAACCACTGGGAACCCTGACACCTCCGTCTCACACACTCTGCTGAAGTAGATTCTGCAGCACTGAAAACACAGTAATGAAAACGAGGGTCCAAGGCCTGCCCTCTCTTGCTTGACAACTCGAAAACAAACTCCACACGAAAGATGTATCTAAGTTTCAGGAGCAACTCACAAAGCATTGCATCAAGATGCAGGATTTCAGAAGTTTGTTTAAATCTTCGTTTTACCAAGAATAAATAGAAGCACAGGAGGAATCCGAAGCCTAATTTTACACTAATCCAAAAATCATTCTATTTCACTCATAATGGGATAAAGTTATTTTTCGGTTAATTTTTCTGACTGAACTCTGAGTCTCCAGAGCAAAGCACTGCTTCGACGGGGCAGGAAATACTACACAAAAGTGACCCTATATGTTACCATTGGGATGGGAAATTTTAGCTACATTCCCAGAAATGAATAGAAATTTAAAAAGGAATATAAAATCTTGTTGTGAAGGTTAAACAAAGCATCATGCCCTTTGATTTTTGCATGGCCAAATCTTCCATTCTAAGAGATATTGTTGCCCTTTGTATTGACACCCTGCCATTAGAAATTCATTTATTTGGGACCACTTGTGGATTTTGTTTGCCAAAATAAATTGTCAAGATACAAATAATAATATCAAATAATAATAATAATGTAATGCAATCCACAGAAGTTCTGTTAAAACAGAATAGCCACTCTGGTGTTTAAGGAGAAAAATCAGCCACAAATAAGACAAAGCAAGGACCCATTGCTGACATAAAATATATATAAATCTACATAAATCAACATTCATTATATGTGTAGCTATTGACAGACACATTGGAAAATCAATAAACTTTCATCACATACACACCAAATCATCATTCTACTTGAGGAAAGATCTACAAAGCACAGTCCCCCAGAAGGAAACGTGAAGTCGTAAATTACTTGGCCAGTTAACAACTTAAGGAGACAGTTCACCAGGATCATTAAGTAGGAGTCCCAAAATGAAGTGCTTGAGGGTGTCTAAGATACGTACCTTGTATAAGTGGAGAAACCCCAGTCACCGAACTGCAATAATCCACATAAGGAAAGCATTGTCCAAATTCCCAACAATTTAACTGAAGAAACTCCAAAGGAAGAAATTGATGGTATTTTGTCCAGGGCTAACTTGCTGGGGTCGTGGCTTCTCCATGCCACTGGCTGATAAGTATATATCCAAAAAGAACAATTCGAAGGCAGATCAGTAGGAAGTACTCCAGCTAAGCATGGCAGGATACTTGGAGACGCTGGTAATGACACCTATATAATTAGAATTCATTCAGGTTAGTTCCCAGGCGCGTCTGTCTATACAATACCTTCCTAAAAGAATAACTGTCATCACCTTAATTCATTTCACTCTTTGACAAGAAAATTCAAAGCTCCACGGCTCTGGCACCTTGCAGATGTGGTCACTCTCAGAAGTTACCACTCTGTTTGCGTGCTTCCGGGAGTTACCAGCAGTGGTTTGGGTTCAGGGTTTCAGTTGTTTTCTTGAGAGTGGCTCCAAGAACTTGGAGAGCACCTCCAGCAATTGAGAACACGGAAGACAGCGGGGAAGGTGATAAATTACCTTGGTATTTGGACTGATCCCACAAAACATAACTGAAGATGATGGGCCGGGTTTTGTATTGCAGAATCAAGACAGCATACTATTTAAAGACATCCAACAGAAAAAGCCAACATCTGTCCTTTAGATAAACCCCAACTCAGGTCTCTAAGTTATCTCTCTTTTTTTTTTATGTTGGCGAGTTACTCGTAGAGATAAACAACTTTTGGAACGAAGTAGAAAAGCAGCAAAAGAAATTTCATATAAAGATGTTGACTTACAAAGCAAGAACCAACCCAGAAGCTTTCGAAGTTAGGGGACTTGGGAAACAAAGTTAAGAAGTCACCCTGCACCACTATCTGGAGGGAACTGCGTTGCTTCCCCGCAGAGCAGAGACGAAAAGCCGGGCCGCTCTTTTTGGCGGGTGTGGCCGATAGAAACAAAAGGTTAAAACACAAAAGGCGGGGCGGAGGGCTAGGTCAGGGGAGCTCTGCAGGCTCCTGGTTCCTTTTCTACTCAAACTCACTGAAATGACCGAAGTGGGGGGTGGTCTCCACCACCGAAGAGAGGATGGATCCCAAGGATAGCAGTGGGTCATTCTGGGTGGGTCATGAAACTGAACCAGATCAGAGAGGTGAGGGAAGTGGACTCCTAACTGATGGTCCAGGCCCCATCCTCTTCATCTGCGCAACTCTTGACAGTCTGGAACCTGTGGCTTCCTCCACCGGACCCTAGCCCCCAAGAAAACTTCCAGGAGTCCTATCAATTTGCTGGAAACCCCCCCCCCTTACTCCCAAACCCTTTCTGTATTCTATTGTTGCAAGCTTCATGTCTCCAGAGCGCTCCGAAGACAGTGAAGTTTGAAAACGCATGAGGAAATGACCCCCACCTCTGCATCTCTTCCTTTTTCGTGACCAAAGTCCTGGCTCTGGTGCGGGTGAGCCTAATCTAGTTCCCATCGTTATCAGAATGTTTTCCTCCAATCTACATATAACTGGGGGAAAGCGGGGCAGTGCCCGTTTGGATGCCCTTCTCCCCAACCCCTCACCACCACCACCACCCAAAGAAGCACAGGAGATGAACACGTTTCAAATAAACAAATAAAACAATCTGTACAAGAGCCTTAAAGAACAAAAGAAAGGGAGAAGCGGGGAAAGAGATACAATAAAAAGGAAAGAAAAGAAAAAAGAAAGAGTCTAACTTGGCTACTGGAACTACGACTTTGCCCTCGGAAGGGCTGAGAGCCTGGTGACCAGCAGGGATCGGGGTAAACAGGACAAGTCACTCACCTTCTCCCCCCACTTCGTCGCACTTTGAAGGGACATTGTTTCCATTGTTGCAGCCTACGAGGCGCTGGGACACTTTTGCGCAGCCTGACAACGGAGAAAGTCGCGTTGACAAAGTTGCGAGAGAGAGATACCCGGGCGTCCAGGGAGCGGGAGAAGGAGTTCATCAGAGTTCCCCCTTTTGTTCCAAGTCCCAGAGCAGACAAAGAGGCGGAGAGCCGCGGCAGGTTTCTCCCTCTCACCCCTTCCTCCTCTCTCCCTCCCCTCCCTCTCCGCCCCCTCCCTCTCCCCGCATCTCCCGCCCGCTCCAAGCCTTGGTGCGCAGTTCAGCCGGCTCTGTCCCCAAGCACCAGCAACTCAGTCCCGACCCTTTCTCCTTCTACCTCCCGGAAAACTTTGCCCTGAAGATGCGGGTCCCGGTCCCTTCCCACACACCCTTTGAACACCCAGTCTTCAGTCCGCGCTCTCATGCCAGGGGGAAATCTCCAAACTCATTGTTTCCGGGAGATGCACCTCTTTGTTTGCACTTTCCCTGCCAATCAGGGAGAGATATCCACTTTGGCAATGAGTTTCTGCCATTTCTCCGCATCCCAAGAGACATAATGTGAAGGATCCAAGTCAACCCTTTAGTATAAGAGGTACAGTCAGAGGTGGGGTTCAGAGGAGCCTCTCCATCCACAATCCTCCACTCCTTTTCACCTTCCTCCACCCAACAGGCTGAAAAATTCAAAGGTGTTGGAAGTGATGGGAAAAACGCTCCTCTCTCTCCCCCATTAGTGCCCACACACACGACCCCAGGGAAAAGTTCTCAAATTCTCTTGGTAGAGGCCAATAAGGGCCCCCACAGGGGCTTATACCCAGCCCTTGTAGGATACCTGTTGCTGCAGACACTATGCTACTCGGTCCGGGACTCGCTCGGGTTCCTGCACAGTGACCACCCTCTCAGACTCAGGAAACTTTCTCTCATCTCCAACTACATTAACAAGACTCTGAGGCTACCAGGGTTCCCTCCACCCTCAGGCCTAGAGTCCCCCCATCCCCTCCCCTCCCCTTCACAGCTACATGGTCTTCCCCTACTTCTAACTCCGCCGCATCCTCTACTCCCAGTAACTGGGGTGTTCCAGCCCTGCATCCCCTCCCCCACCTTCTGGTCCTGGGTAAGCCAGGTGTCTTCCTTCTATGGGATGTCTCTCACCCTTTCCTCAAGTAGCCTTTAACTTGTCCATCACTTCCAGAACTGAAGCCCCGTCTTTACAACCCTTCAACATTGGACCCTCCTCTCTAAGTGGCTGGCCTCGCTAAAGAGCTCTGAGCAGCGCCAATTTTCTTTCTAGGTCTAACCAGAATTGAAGAAAAAAGCCGAAAGTTGGAAGAACGTTGGAGGGATGGGGCGGTCTTTATGAGTCATTCTTTAGGGTAAAGGAGTTTGGTTTTTTTAAAAAAATAAATAAATAAATAAATAAATAAAAAGACGCCCAAGCATTCCAAAGCATATGTACAACCTTCTGTTGGCATCCTCACCATGGCACACCTTCTTATTTACTCTTTCTTCCCTCTAGTCCGGACATGGAATCTCCGTACACTTAAATTTGGGGTTGAAGAGACGGGGATGAAAGGGGGCTTTGGGAGCAGTGTTCCTGGCTGGAATGAAGGATGTAAGAGTAAGGAACCCTTTCTGGGTGTGAAATGTCATGAGCGTGGATCCCAGCAATCACCCTTCCAGTGCTTGCCAGGTCTCTTCCCAACGGCAGAACAAAGGCGCCGCGAGGAAGCTTTCTTCCTGGTCTCCAGGGGTCCTTGGTGGGCCCCGTGTTTCCCACTGGATTCGCTCTAGGAAACTGTAACCAACTTCTCCCAGAGTTAGCGCTCAAGGTTCCCTGGACAAAACAATCGCACCCCAGGATCAGAGAGATGCCCTCTCCAAGGTCGTCTTCCACCCTTGCTGCGCACTGGACTCCACTGTGCGCCGGGGCAGCCCTCAGCAAAGGGGCAAGCAGGGCACTCTCGAGGCACTAGCCCCTTAAAAACAGTTTCTTAAGTTGGGGGCCCTGCTGGGTCTGGAATGTCGGGGGAACTGAGGGCAGCTACCGGATAAGGTAGCAAAGAGATAAAAGATCTGCCAGGAAGGCCAAGAGCATGGCTTGGGCGATGGTTAGGCGGCTGAGAGAGGGAAGCCCTGGGCTCACTAGCGGCGGGGCGGGGCGCATGCCCGCGCGGGTCCCACCAGGATTCGGTGCACATAATCGCGCATGGGGTCTCAGTACACGGCCACTGACTAGGGGTCCGCTCCCTGGGCCCCTCACCTGCTGGTGACACCTGAGCAGCATTCTGGAACTGTCTCCTGGATGTTCAAAAGCCTCTTTTTAGGATATTTTTAGGGTAGGAATCTTGAAGGCATCACAACCAACCACAAAGAGGAAACACCCCCACCCACTCCTGTCTGGCACATTCTCCTCTTTGTTTAATTATAATGATCTTCGGAATTCTCTTTTTAGGAGAAATGTACCCTCCCACAGATAAGCCCTTCGCCTTGTCTCTGAGTTAAAAGTTGAGAAAAGTCAGTAGCGACAATTCGGTACAGTTGCTTTTGGAAAACACCCTAACTTGTAGGTCGCATCAACCCTTACATAGTTTTTAACTCCTAAATAATATCCCGCTCTCCTCTTATCCCCACAGTGTGTAACACTGCCAATATTCTCTGGTGGCACATTCCAGCAATCCCAGCCCTTTGGAGACTAAGCAAATAAACTGGCTGTGAATTCAAGGCTACCCTGGGCTACAAAGTGAGCTCCAGAATAGCCTGGATTACATAGTGAGACTGTGTTGTAACTGAATGAATGAATGAGTTCACAAAAGATTCCCAAGCCTTTGAAAGTAATTTACTCCTGCCTCATGGAAGAAAGAATAAAAGGTCTTTCTAGGTGCGAAGGAGAGTATAGCCTTACAGTTTCTCCTTGCTCTCAAAAAATGTAAGAAAGACTCCATGGACTATCTCTTTCCCAGACAGCTTTTCTCATCTCCTTAGCTCCTGGGCTGGTCTGGGGCAGGGTGTTCACTGCTGTGTTATAAAAGGAAGCCATCACTCTTAGTAAGGCTGCTGTTGCTGGAATGAACACCATGACCAACAACAACCTGGGGAGGAAAGGTTTTCTTTGGCTTCCACTTCACTGTTCACCACTGAAGAAAGTTAAGACAGGAACTCAAACAGGGAAGGAACCTGGAAGCAGGAGCGGATGAAGAGGTCATAGAGGGATGCTGCTTACTGGCTTGTTCCTCATGGCTTATTCAACCTATCTTATAGAACCCAGCATCACCAGCCCAGGAATGGCACCACCCACCACGGACTGGACCCTCCTACATCAATCACTAATTAAGAAAATGCCTTACAGTCTTGTCTACAGCTGGGTCTAATGGAAGCATTTTCTTTTCTTTTTTGTTTATATGTTTTGTTTGGTTGGTTTGGGTTTTTCAAGACAGGGTTTCTCTGTGTAGCTCTGACTATCCTGGAACCCGTTTTGTAAACTAAGCTGTCCACGAACTCACAGAGATCCTCCTGCCTCTGCCTCCCAAGTACTGAGATTACAGGCATACACCATGGAAACATTTTCTTAATTGAGGTTCCCTCTGCTCTGATGATGTTAGTTTGTGTCTTGGGTTGATATAAAATTAGCTAGGTCATAATCTCTTCTTAGATACCACATTTCATGTATTTTTAAAAGTTAAGTGCTAGGGGGAAGGAGAGGAGGGAGGACAAATTGTGGTCAGGATGTAAAATAAATAAATTGTTTTGATTTGATTTGATGTTTCATTTTCTGAGACAGAGCTTCACTGTGTAGCCCTGGCTGCTCTGGAACTCATTCTGTTGACCATGTTGACCTCAAGTTCACAAAGATCTTCCTGCCTTTTCCTCCTGAGTATTGGGACCACCACCACCCAGCTATGAATAAGTATTTCATAAAAAATGAATATGGACTCCCAAATTTCAAGTATGAAATGTCAAACAATTCTTCCCTTGTTAGAAACAAACAAAAAAAAAGATTAAAATTCAAAGAGGAGATTCCCTCCTTGCTCATTGGCACAATATGCTGTTCTTTTAATAAATAAACATATAAACACACACACACACAAGCTAAGTGCTGGAGAGGCAGGGTTATGGCTCAATAGACAGAATATTTACCCAGGATGCTCCAGGTTCCATACCCAGCCTCTCCTCTCACAAAAGCAGGTACAATGGTGCACACCTGTAAGCCTAGAGCTGGCAGAAAGAGGATCAGATGGTCAAAGACATCCTCAGCTGTGAGAGCTCTGCCTTTTAATAAACAAACAAACAAACAAACAAATAAAAGATAGTGGAGCAATGGTGGTGCAGGCCTTTAATCCCAGCACTCAGTAAGCAGGGGTAGGCAGATCAAGGCCTGGCAACCACAGCTAGTTCCAGGACAACCAGGGTTAAACAGAGAAACTCTGCCTTGAGACAAACACCAGTAAGAAAGATAATAAACACAATTGGAACTCAAAGATGGCTTTAGCAAAGCCCAGAGGGTTAGCCCCTCTATACTGTGAACTCTGGGGCACAGCCTCTGCTTGTTTTTTTGGTTTGGTGTTGTTGAGATTGAACGTTAGTACACAGCCCTGGCTGGCCTGGAACTCACTGTGAAGACCCGGCTGCCTCTGCGAAGACCCGGCTGCCTCTGCCTCCCAAATCCTGGAACTAAAAGAGTACACTACCATGTCAGGCTTAGTTTAAGGTGTCTGACAATGACACCTGGCCACATCTCTCTCTCTCCCTTTGTACACTTGTGATCATGGCCTTCTTTGAATTCTAAAGACCACTGTGATTAGTGCAGAGGGGCAAGCCACAAGTGACCGGCAGTGAAGCCCTTCAGAGCAGACCTTCCCTAGAAGATGGTATGACTGACACACTCCAGCTCCCTCACTGGGAGGTGGGACCAGGGTAAATTATTCTAGTTTCCCTGGGGCCAGCAATGTTGAGCTTTAGTTGCCCACAGCTACCATCTTTCAGGGAACCAACCCTGTGTTTGCTGCCCAACTCTGTCCTGCATCTGTCCTTTCCTTCCTTCTTCCTTTCCTTCTTCTCTACCCTTCTGATTTCCTCCACTTTTCTCTCCTGGTCCTTCTGGGATCACAGCCCACATATGCTACAGTACCTGCTGCTAAGTCCTGCGCTCACAGTCAGCTTCCTAGGGAATTCAATGTAAGAAAAATGTGGTTCTTC